GGGGGAACCTAGCGGTGTGGTCAGATCTCCAAATATTAGGAAATTCTCTCTTAGTGGTGACCTCTAGCCATCCGGTACCCCTGCCTTTTCTTCGACCCTTTGTTATTATTCTATCCCTGAACGCTGCTGAGAAAACTACGTTGTGTATGGGATCAGTAATTGGGGCAACAAACACGTCAGTTAGGAGCTTGAGCTGCAGGTTTCTCAAGGATTCTGAGGGGAGTTGTGGTCTATGGGCTTTGGTGTAGACCACGCTGTTGGGAATCCGAGAGATGTATGAGGCGGGAATATTGACGATTCTGCGGAGGAACCTGTAATAAAACCCGTCTATCCTATGTAGAGCCTTGTCGTCTAATGTGAATGCATCTAATCCGTAAGTTAAAACGGCTGGGAACGTCGACTGGAAGATTCGGAGCTTGACTCTCTGAGGTAGGGAGCTATTCCACAGTAATCTTAATTTTTTATAGGCTTGTTCTGCTAAGGCAGCCTATGTTTGAAGGTTACGGAAAAGGAGTTCTCCCATGAAACCATAGTGCCTAGATACTTTACTTGCGTTGTGGTCGGTACTGCAGTACCATTTAGAAACTTAGCTTTGGGGCAGGTGTCGAGGCCCGGTGCAGGATTTCTGTTTTTGAGGAATTGAGGGACATACCATACAGCGAGGCTGCTTTCTCCACCTGATGCAGCATGTGTTCTAGTTGCGGTGTGGTCAATCCTAAGAGCAAGGTATCATCTGCATACTCTACATCGTATGTAGGGTAGTTAACCGACCAAGTATTGGTAGCGACTCCCTGGTCTAGAAGGGCTCCGTCAACATCCTCCAGCATAACCGATAAGATAATAACACAAAGATAGGGACTGAGGGGGCAACCTTGTCTAGTACCCGTTCTTACTTTACCTCTTGCTAACTTGCCACTGAGTCCTTTGATTTCGAAGGTGGGGTCAGAGTATATGGAGTTAACTAGTAATTGGATGTCCTCCGAAATACCAAAGCGTTGCAATGTGATCTTAAGTGCGGTGTGGTCGACTGAGCCAAAGGCCTGTTTTCAATCTAGGAAGAGCAAGTGGAGATTGGTATCCGTCAGGTTTGAGTATTCCATTGCGCGCCGAAGAATGTGCAGCGCGTGCTTTGTGATTTTGGCAGCCCTAAACCCATACTGAGACTTACGTATGAATTGGTCCATGTCCTGCGCTAATCTGGATTGTATTATCGAAGCAAACACCTTGTACATAGTGTTCAGGAGAGCAATGGGTCTGTAATTTTGTGGGTCTGTATCTACGCCTTTTCCTTGGTATATGGTGACGATAGCGGTGTGTTTCCAGGAGTCAGGTACCTTACCTTCATCCCAAACCCTTTGCAGTGTGGTCAGGAGTTTTTGTTCCCCGTTTTCATCTAGCCACAACAGGAACTCATTTGAGAGACTGTCCGGGCCTGGCGCCTTGTTCTTTTTGAGTTTAGTGAGCGCGGTCTGCAATTCTTCCAGTGTGATGTTGCCCTTGCTGGGGAGTTGTGGTCGGAGTTGTGGTCTGTTTTGCAATTCCTGAACTAGCTGTGGATCTGCGGGCTGGTTGCGTTCCTGAAGGTTGTTTCTAAGTGCCTCGTGTGTTTGCGACCACGGGACTGCCTTTCCATCTATTACCAGGTGCTG